AATCCCGATGATGTTGTTATAATGAGATCATCATATAATTTTTCTAACGATATACCCAATTGAAGATTCTTATCAACTATATCTTTAATTAAATTTTTTCCACAGAAATTATCTATCAAATCTCGTGTTATTTTTTTAAAACTCTTACATATTTGTGTGATATTATTTAAAACTCGTTGTGATTCTTTTGTTATTGGTACATATAATAAATTACTATTTTTATATATATAAACATCATGAAATGCCTGATTTAAAACCCGTATAACAGGTAAGCTTTTTGATTTATAATCTTTATCTAAAAAATCAATATGATATTTTGATATGATACTATAACCCCACATAAATTCACTAGTAACATTCTCAACATATTCATTTAGTATTTCCAATATATTTAAATTTGATTTTAATTTGTATTTTTAATTAAACTAGTAACTTCTTGATAAGAAACTTGAGATAATCTTTCAATATTATTATTAATCGAAAATATTAATATTTTTTTATGTAATTTAAAATATGAATCAGATGATGTTGTAAAAGAAATAGAATTGAATTCGAAAAAAATAAACGGTGCAAAACTTTTTCTTTCTATATTAATTTCATGTTGTCTATTTATTATTTCACAAGAGCTTTTATTCATCCTGTAAAGTTGAATTGATAATCCTGATAAAACTGCAATAAAATCATGCTCTTTACATATGTTTTTTCACATCGTCAAATACCAAAACTTCAATTCCTTGTTTCTTATAAAAAAGATATAATGAAAAAATATTATAGAATTTATATAAAAATAACTGAAATTATTAAAATTTGAAACATTTTTATCCTATTGAGAAATTTTTAAAAAAATCCTTATTTATATTATGATAATTATTAATTTTTATTAATTTGCAAATTTCTAAATATTAACATGCAACAAAACAAAATAATAAAATTACTAAATAAAATCTAATATAATAATACAATTAAAAATATCATCATATATAAACAACAAATTAATTTTTGAAGATTGTGTAATAAAAACAAAATTTCTTGACTATAGATCAAATGAACATATGAAAACTTAAAGTTGTTGGCTTCAGCCTTTTTTTTTTTTTTTTTTTTTTTTTTTTTTAAAAAAAAAACCGCATTTAAGCGTACTTTATTTTATTTACAACTTATTATATCTACAATGAGGATTTTATATATTTTAGTATTTTTTTGGCTGCTGTATTTGGGGCGGATCTAAAACTAGTGGACTTATATAGAAGTTTAAGCTCATGGTTAATTCTAACTTTTGTGATTTCTGATATTTTGTTTAGAGGAATTATGTTGT